GAAGGCTTAGGGGAGCGTCGCCCCAGGAGGTCGGGGGGTACGAATGGTGGACGGATGAACTAGATAAGACTCGGAAGTTGCATTGCAAACTTAGGCGTGCTTGGCAGAGCAAAAGGCGTCTGAGAGGCAGGTCTGAGGAGATAGCCAGAACGGCTTTTCACAGCGTGCGTGCGCGATACAGGAAGATGATGGTGGAGGCGCAGCAGTCGCAACACCGAAAAGTCGCCAATTCTGGCAATGATGACCCATGGGGCCTTGCGTACAGAATTTCTAGCAGGAGGGTGCGTCCGCCTGCAAATGTGATCAATGGGATCGCCTTTGCGGGTGGGCACCCGGACAGCCTGGTTTCCGCGATGCGCAGATTAATGTCTGCGCTTTGTCCGGATGACAGCACCGACTGCAACTCACCATAGCGCAGGCAGGTTCGCCTGCTAGCGGCTTTTATTCCATCTGGTGAAGCTTGCGGTTGGGGATCTGGAAGGCATAGTCAAGGCCTTGCCTAACACGGCTCCGGGACTCGATGGTGTTAGTGCGAGAATTGTGAAGAATGTCTGGATGGCAGCACCAAGGGAATTTCACTCGGTGTATGCTAAGTGTGTTGTAGAGGGGGTTTTTCCCAAAGTATGGAAGAACGGAAGACTGATTGTCATTCCTAAGGGTAATGACAAGCCGCTCACCGACGCCAAGGCGTACCGTCCAATAACGCTCCTTCCTGTTTTGGGAAAGTTATTAGAACGCGTAATTTTGAGATGTGCTCCTGCAATTAGTCGTGGGATATCAGAGTACCAGCACGGATTTTCTCCGGGGCGGTCTACGGTAACAGCGCTACGTGTATTGCTCAGCACGGCGAAGTACTCTCAGGCATGCTACGTACAAGCTATCTTCTTGGACTTCTCTGGTGCCTTTGACAATGCCTGGTGGCCGATGATGATGGTCAAAGCTAAGAGGGGCGGATGTCCACCTAACATTTATAAAATGTTGGTGGACTACTTCACCTCCAGGCGTGTGGGCCTATACATCGGGGATCGGGTAGAGTGGAAGGCCTCGACCATGGGATGTCCTCAAGGCTCTGTGCTGGGCCCAACACTGTGGAACTTGTTGATGGAAGATTTGCTCCGACTTCCTCTGCCTGAGGGAGTTGACATGCTGATGATGTCACAATCTTGATTGAATCGGATACGTGAGCGGATATCGAATCTAGGGCCAAGGTCACTCTGGACCTTGTACGGGAGTGGGGGCTGAGGAATCGTCTGCAGTTTTCCTCCTCAAAGTCCCCGTCAAGCTTCAGCGCCCCCCCCCCCGTTATTAAACTTTGTGTGGAATCTATCAAGACTGTGACTACCGCTAAGGTATTAGGTGTGGTTTTGGACTCAGGCTCAGACTATCATTTGTGCAACATGCGACTGATATCTCTGAAAGAGCGACCAAGGGATTCGGCAATATGACTCGCGTATCGACATCCTCATGGGGCGTGCGATACCCGAGTTTAAAAATTGTGTACAGGGGAGTGTTTGTGTCCACGCTTGCGTATGCGGCAGAGTGCTGGTACGAGCGAACGAACATGTATATAATCCGTAGCGTACTACTAAGATCGCAACGATTCGCCCTTGTATTGCTGACCAAGGTGTACCGATCCACTAGCACGGCGGCCTTACCGGTGCTGGCTGGAATCCTCCCAGCTGATCTGGAGGTCATCCGTGCTGGTAGGATGGGTGTGGCACGTCTGACCGCACCCAAAGAGAAGTTGAGCAGACGAAAGCGCGAAATCTGGACTGAGGTAATAGGTGCCTAGCAGGGACGATGAATGAATGATACGAAAGGACGCGAACTATATCGATTTTTCCCGGAGGTGGCGTTGAGGCTCAGGTATACCTGGGTCTCACCGGACTATCAAACATCCCAGATTCTCACCGGACATGGATGTTTTCGGAAGAGATTGTGCGACATGCGACTGTGTGATACTGGTATGTGTGAGTGTGGTGTGTCAGAAGAGGATGTTAACCATGTTCTATGGGAATGTCCTCTGTATGACGACCTGAGAACGAAAATGATGGATGGACTAGTTCGAACGGTTCAGGGACCGATTTACCACTCGGATCTCGTCAGCGATGGGGTTAACTACGGGCTGTTGCGTGAGTTTGCGCATAGGTGGCACGATCGCAGGACAAGGCAGGATAGGATGCTGGTATGAAGGCCCGACGACGTAGGCGTTATTGTGCCGTCAGCCCCAGAAGGGGGAGAATGACGTTAAACTGGGACAAGGAACAGAATAAATATTTGTAGGGAGTCAACAAAGTGCGCGCGGGAAAGAGCAAGGTGCAAGTACCGCGCGCATCTCCCGAGATTAGGCCCGTATGACCTGAGGTTCGGTGGGGCCATGGGAGGTGGTGGATCCACCAGTACACCTGGTGCCTTGCGGACCGTTGGCGGACACGGGGCATGGACGCGTCGCAAATCTGCGTCATCGCCCCGCGAAACAATAGCGCCACTGCTTCGACGTCGACGGGGCCCTCCGTCGCCGACTCCCAGATCTAGGACTGGACTAAAGCAGCTTCCTCGAGTAGTTCCCTGTCGATGCGCTTAAGCGCCCAACGCGGGCCGTCTTTATCGGGGTTGTTGGATGGCGGTCGCTCGCAGTCTGGGCAGAGACGTCGAACCGGATATACCGATGGTCCGACAACGTCTCCACCCCTACGGCGACACGCCAGTCGCGGACTCGGCTGGCAAGAGAGGGGCTAGCGAGCGAGACGTCCACTATCGACCCGCCTCCTGCCGCACGCATGTGTATTCCGAACCCCGATTAAGGACGATCAGACCAGTCGTCACTGTCCACTATTCTAGCACCTCGCCCCGAGGGTCAGTGACCGGAGATCCCCACGCTGATGACTTGGCGTTGAGATCCCCGAGCACCAGAAGGGGACGGGGGTGATAGCGGCCTACGACGGCGCCCAACACGACAAGGAAACCCTCAAAGTCGGCGAGACTCTTGTTGGGGGAGAAATACGCCCCCACGATAACGATGCCACCCGAGATCGCAGCAACCCAGCCGCGGCCCGGGGACGGGTCGATCAGAGTCTCGCCAATAATGGCCACCAAACCGTCAGCGCATCCCAGCCAGTTGTCACGGGCAGGAATGAAGTACGGTTCGGCGACCATAGACACCTGAATCGACCACTCTGCCATGCTCTGGAGATCCTGAGCTCTGGCACAGTGGTTGATGTTGCACTGGAGAAAATGGAACTTTGCCATTATTGACATTCCATTCCCTCGGCAACAGTCCTCGGCCGAGAGTCGGCCGCGGAGCTACTGGCCTGTGTGGGCAGCGAGGTTAACCTGGCAGGCTTGGTGCTCCTCTTCTTTTCCTTTTTGGCCTTGGCCTTGCTGGTAGGCGCCCCACCCCAACGGCGGATCTGGTTTATGGCTCCGCCGCCAACCAAGATTCGGCTGCGGAGGGTAGGGAGAGCGACGCCTCGCAATACCGATAATCCTCTCCCCCCGCAGCCCCACCACCGCAACAACGGTGCGGCCTCGTTTGAGTCGCGGATGATAGGGCGAGTGGCGCATCGCCATACCAACACTCCTCTTCCTCCGCGACTCCACCTCGGCTGCAGGGGTAAAGGGTGCGGACTCATCTCTCGCTGCAGTCCACCAGCACACATCCGAAGTGGGCTCGCCAAGCCTACTCGGAGTGGCCTACCCGGGCCGGCCCTTCACCTCGGGCCAACCACGTGGGTTCCTCTTTGTTCACCGCGGATGACGAAGCAACGACTACTATGCACCCCCCGCCACGACAAGGCGGGAACCCGTTCGGGGGGGGAACCTAACCTAACCTAACCTTTTTTTACGGGGGGGAAATCCTCATGGACTGCCTATGCCTGGGGAAAGGCGGAGGGGTGTGCCGGACTCTTACTGGCTAAAACCACCCCGGTGTCTCCTCGCACGTGCACGCGAGGGGCCGCGGGAATCCAAATTCTTCCGCAGCCCCACACTAGTGCTGGCCCTGCCTGTACGGGCCTCGTCTCCTGGACGGGGTAGTGAGGTGTTCAACTACCCAGTATATCACCTCAGAGGCGCGCGCCGACACCCGCGCGTGCCTCCGCCTCGGGTCCATCGAATAGGGGGCGGGGGCTTCCCCAAGTCCCTCGCCCCTGGATTCATTCGTGGGGGCTGGTAAAGCGCGTTGTCCGCCCTTCTCCTGCGCCCGGTGCGTCTTCTGCGGCCAGGGAAGGGAGTCGAGATCTCCCTCTCCCGTTCTGAAGTTTCCTTCTGCAACATCGCGTCCTCACAGAAGGACACCACTGCATCCCACGATTCTGCGCTACCGACCATCCTCCGCACCAAGGCCGACAGTGACAGATCGCCTCCTACTACATTTGTGAGGACACGGCGCTGCTCCTCCAAGCTACACACTCGGAGAGCGTGTGCTACGCCGTGTCCTCCCCGAAATGGACGCAGTGGTGGCACCGAGCGCTGGGCTCCCTGTCTATGCGGCACAGGTACTTGCCAAAGCAGCCGTGCCCCGACAGCACCTGCGTCACCCTAAACGACAGGGAGCCATGCCTTCTCCCGAGCCAATCGTCGAGTACTGGCCGGATCGCCTCGACGATAGCGAGGCCGGCGGTAGGGCGCAGAAGTCTTTGCCGCCATTCCGCCACAAAGACCTGACGGAGCTCCTCTCGGCGCAGCGCGATCTGTCGCTGCATCGGCCTCAACCTAACCTAACCTAACCTCGAAAACTGAAGTACACTAATATAATAAACATGAGGAAACATTAACATTCATAAGCAGTACAAACGTCTGGAGGTCAGTATTTGAATTAATTGGCAACAAAAATGCAAAAGCAGACATCATTAACATTCATAAGGAGTGAAAACGTCTAGACGTCAGTACGTGAATTAATTTGCAATAAAACTGTCTAGAGGTCAGGACGACGAATAACGCGTATTAAGCAGGTACGAACAAGTATAAAAGACAAAACATATATGCTCAAACCATCAGTTATGAACAAGCAGTTATACTACTACCACATCATAACAAGTAAGGACATTGAAGAAGAATTAAAATCAAAGCAAATATACCCTGTTGTGCATTTTAAAAATGAAACGTGCGAGAGAAACCTACCAGAAACATATGTACCCCGGAAACATGTTCAGAACCCAAAAACATCATCACCACCGACACCACCACCGGAGGGACGGGAAGAAACGGGGATATGGGACTGGAACAAATTCAGGGAGGGGAAAATAAAAAATTATGTCCTGGACCTGAAGGGATTGGGAGGGTTGCAGACGATGGCTGCTACCGAGTCAGATGGAGAGATGGAAGAACATGAAGATACTCCGTCGGAGGAGGCAGTTGCGAGAGACTTGGAGATTACGATGAAAGCCTGGGAAGAAGAATACATCAAGTCGGTACGTATATCCCAAGTAATGAAAGTCAAGTGTCAACAATTTATAACGGACCTTATAAACTCATCGCTTTCCATCAAGGAGTCAGAAGACGGCATTGGCACCTTATATACATCAGTCATAATAGACAGTTGGGATTTAACTCTAGACTGGGGAGAATTATTCGAAACGGAACCTACAAAAATACAAGCATTAACTGTCTCGCTTGTTTACGCAAGTATCTTTATTCCGGCAATGGTCGTCAAGTTGTACAGGACATTCTCAGCGACAAACTTGTTGAAACCTGTCAATGCGCCAGTCATTCATGTGGAATGGACAGGATCAATAAATGGACAAAAAAATGTACGAGGCTGAATGTACCGAAGGGAGAAATACAGTACCTGGAAATGAAGGTGACCCATCTCAAACGAAACAGCCAAGACTGGTGGATGCAACTGATCAAACCCTACGAGAACGAGATGGGAATGTCGCTGAAATAGAACGGGAAAACGAGCAAGTTTTACAAGGAGGGCAAAAGCGTAAATACAGCATTGACTGTGGACAAAATAGCAGCACTTACGATAGAAATACAGATATTATTTTACTTTTATGCGAAAATGGTGCTTTCACAGAATCAGAAGCTATACAAGTGCTTACGAGAACGCCTCAAGGCATTAAATTTATCTGTTCAAAACAATATACTGAAAGGATCAAAAACTACATCCACATCGCAAGAATTTTGGTATTTCAAGAATCGGTAAAACAACGATTCGAACGAGCTAAGGCGGCGTTTGAGAAACAATCAATATTTACGGATGAATACCTAGATAATACTTACAGAATATTAACAGACATCTTAAAATTAAATCAAATTAAAACGAAATAGCATACAGATTCAATTTAAACTCTGTAAATCACTTTTTACTACCACCGTTAATCATGGAATCTACGATATTATTCAATGCGACAAACTCTATAGGACCGATATTTGAAAAAACATACAAACCCCAAGACGGGACATTTCACATAGACAACGACGGATTCGAAAACGCAGATTACATAATTCGTAATGAGCCAATGTCGATTCTATTACACACGGGAAACGCAGGAGTGAGAAGCGTATCATGTGTAAAAACAAATACAAAGAAATATGAGGAAGCGACAGTGGACAATCTAACAATAGGAAGACTGTACACCAACGCTCAAAAAGATTTCATAGGAAGCATAGGAGTGGAAATAATACCGTTGTTAAACAAAGACGGGAGTCTTGAAAACGCAATATTAAACATAACGGTGGAAACAAACATAGAAATTGAATGCATATCTCACGGAACGAACTTGCTGATGGGAAAATACAACAAGGCAAAACCAAATACGCTATTCTCTGGCTTAGCTATAGATAAGTACAAATGGAACAACAAATATACAATAGCCGGAACACCAGCAGTAGAGTAGGTATGGCAATATTAATTACTTATGAAATATATAATGTAAATTTATAATTAATTGCTGTTCTCATTCAGTGCAGGTAACATAAACACGACGATAGAAGACAGACGACCGACACCTATAGAAGGACCGCAATTACCTCAATCCCGTCCAAAACCAGAACCACAACGAGAACCTGAACCTCCACCACAACCTCAACCTCAACCTGGACCATCTAGAGCAGGAAAGCGAAAAACCGAAGCACAAGAACCCAAACAAAAAAAAAACGTGATACAGTGACGGAGAAAACTTAGTGATAGACAAAGAACGTTACGTTCTTCTATCGTCGTGTTTATGTCACCTGCACTGAATGACAACAGCAATTAATTATAAATTTACATTATATATTTCATAAGTAATCAAAATTGCCATACCTACTCTACTGCTGGTGCTCCGGCTATTGTATATTTGTTGTTCCATTTGTACTTGTCTATAGCTAAGCCAGAGAATAGCGTATTTGGTTGTGCCTTGTTGTGTTTTCCCATCAGCAAGTGTGTTCCGTGAGATATGCATTCAATTTCTATGTTTGTTTCCACCATTATGTTTAAGGTTGCGTTTTCTAGACTCCCGTCTTTGTTTAACGACGGTATTATTCCCACTCCTATGCTTCCTATGAAATCTTTTTGAGCGTTGGTGTACAGTCTTCCTATTGTTAGATTGTCCACCGTCGCTTCTTCGTATTTCTTTGTATTTGTTTTTACACATGATACGCTTCTCACTCCTGCGTTTCCCGTGTGTAATAGAATCGACATTGGCTCATTACGAATTATGTAATCTGCGTTTTCGAATCCGTCGTTGTCTATGTGAAATGTCCCGTCTTGGGGTTTGTATGTTTTTTTCAAATATCGGTCCTATAGAGTTTGTCGCATTGAATAATATCGTAGATTCCATGATTAACGGTGGTAGTAAAAAGTGATTTACAGAGTTTAAATTGAATCTGTATGCTATTTCGTTTCAATTTGATTTAATTTTAAGATGTCTGTTAATATTCTGTAAGTATTATCTAGGTATTCATCCGTAAATATTGATTGTTTCTCAAACGCCGCCTTAGCTCGTTCGAATCGTTGTTTTACCGATTCTTGAAATACCAAAATTCTTGCGATGTGGATGTAGTTTTTGATCCTTTCAGTATATTGTTTTGAACAGATAAATTTAATGCCTTGAAGCGTTCTCGTAAGCACTTGTATAGCTTCTGATTCTGTGAAAGCACCATTTTCGCATAAAAGTAAAATAATATCTGAATTTCTATCGTAAGTGCTGCTATTTTGTCCACAGTCAATGCTGTATTTACGCTTTTGCCCTCCATGTAAAACTTGCTCGTTTTCCCGTTCTATTTCAGCGACATTCCCATCTCGTTCTCGTAGGTTATTGTCATCGGTTTGATCAGTTGCATCCACCAGTCTTGGCTGTTTCGTTTGAGATGGGCCGCCTTCATTTCCAGGTACTGTATTTCTCCCTTCGGTACATTCAGCCTCGTACATTTTTTTTGTCCATTTATTGATCTCGTCCATTCCACATGAATGACTGGCGCATTGAAAAGTTTCAACAAGTTTGTCACTGAGAATGTCCTGTACGACTTGACAACCAATGCCGGAATAAAGATACTTGCGTAAACAAGCGAGACAGTTAATGCTTGTATTTTTGTAGGTTCCGTTTCGAATAATTCTCTCCAGTCTAGAGTTAAATCCCCACTGTCTATTACGACTGATGTATATAAGGTGCCAATGCCTTCTTTTGACTCCTTGATGGAAAGCTATGAGTTTATAAGGTCCGTTATAAATTGTTGACACTTGACTTTCATTACTTGGGATATACGTACCGACTTGATGTATTCTTCTTCCCAGGCTTTCAAGTCTCTCGCAACTGCCTCCTCCGACGGAGTATCTTCTTGTTCTTCCATCTCTCCATCTGACTCGGTTGCAGCCATCGTCTGCAACGCTTCCAATCCCTTCAGGTCCAGGACATAATTTTTTATTTTCCCCTCACTAAATTTGCTCCAGTCCCATATTCCCGTTTCTTCGTCCCGTCCCTCCGGTGGTGGTGTCGATGGTGATGATGTTTCTGGATTCTGAAAATGTTTCCGGGGTGCATATGTTTCTGGTACATTTTCTCTCGCACGTTTCATTTTTAAAATGCACAACAGGGTATATTTGCTTTGATTTTAATTCTTCTTCAATGTCCTGACTTGTTATGATGTGGTAGTAGTATAGCTGCTTGTTCATGACTGATGGTTTAAGCGTATATGTTTTGTCTTTTATACTTGTTCGTATCTGTTTAATACGCGTTATTCGTCGTCGTGACCTCCAGACTGTTTTATTGCAAATTAATTCACGTACTGACGTCTAGACGTTTTCACTCCTTATGAATGTTAATGATGTCTGCTTTTGCATTTTTGTTGCCAATTAATTCAAATACTGACCTCCAGACGTTTGTACTGCTCATGAATATTAATGTTTCCTCATGTTTATTATATTAGTGTACTTCAGTTTTCGAGATTAGGTTAGGTTAGGTTAGGTTCCCGTGTGGAGTTGCCAGTCCTCCTAAAGGGCGCGTCCCCAGGTGGCGCATAGGTGAACGCCACTCAGATATGAGTGGTAGCGGAAAACCGTCGCGGACCAAAACTGGCTGGGTTTGGGCGTACCTTTCGTTCCGAATGGAATCAAGTACCTGCTAGTTGCTTCCCGTATCCTCTCCACTGAGAGGAACAGAGGATGTGACATGCGCGGTGAGATGCCAGGTGCACTCGGCTTTTGCTGACGCCGGGCAACCCGTCATCGCGGGAATTGAATGGGCTCAGAGTTCCCTCACCCGGTCTCTGGGCAGGCATGGGAAAAACCCGTATCTACTCTGCCACCGTTCGAACCTCGGAATCCCTTTGGCGTGTCGTGGATCATGTCTCGCGGCACCTGAGGGGCCGATGGCTCTTGGCTTAACCACCTGGAGTCACGAGGATGATAACCTCTATAAAAATCACCCGAAGCTCAAGCGTGGCACGCCGTGAGGAGCTGCATGGCTGATGGGTAAATGTTCAGTCGTTAGCGTTGCCCCCCGTCAGGGTACCGGCCGACACCCTTGACGGGTTATGCATAGGCTTATCCGGGCAAAGGGGGCACTGCTCGGATGGACCGTTACTTCCTCCACACTCGTGGGAAAAAATGGATAAACCTTTAAAAAAAGTAAATATAGAAAAACAGGGTGGATCAGACGTGGACAGATCGCGTGGGACGGCTTCCGCTAGGAAACATCCAGGGTGCCGGTCTTCGGAAGAGGAAGGCCTGCCGGCTCCTAAGTTGGCGACTTAGAGGAGGGGTCGGCAGGCATCGAGAGGGGTGAGTGCTTTGCAGCCGCGAAGGGATAAGCACGGACGGTTCGTGTGCTCCAATACCTCGGTGCCTAGTGAAGCAGAGAGTGGCATGGGTGTCACTACGGAGGACCCTGGCGATGGCGTTGAAAGCTGTGCCTCGCTGGGGAGTTCAAAGGCGGAGCTCAACGACGCCAAGAGGGAACAGCGCAAAGCCGTCGCAGCCGACGAAGTGTTTGAAATGGTCCGACGCGCTCGCGAACGACGAGCTGCTCTGGCGGCGTAAAAAGGATAGCCATCTGCGGTGGCCTTGAGCCAGCTAGCTCTGGATGGGGTGGACTTAGTCCTGAAAGTTGCCTCCAAGTCCGGCAGCCTGAAGGGCACGTTAATCCGTGGCTTAAAGGAGGCTGCCGCGGATATCGGGGAGGCGGTTGGCATTCTCCTCAACAGGACGGCCTCTGATGAGGTCGCGAAACTGCAGGAGGAAACAGCCGCCTAAGAAATGACCTAAAAGACCTCCGGCAGCAAGTCGCAGCACTGAGCGAGCAGCAGCAGAGATGCACGCCTGCCGATGCCGCATCTGTAGTGGGCCCGACTCCCGCACCGCGACCGGCAAGCCCTCGTAACGACGAAGAGGTCGAGCACATTGTCCGGCTCTGCATGCTCCAGTGCGGGACCATGGTTAACGCCCGGCTGGAGGCGATTTCTCGGCGTCTCCCGGCGGAAATCCTACGTCCGCCTTTGGCAGCTGACACGCGGAGGACTGAGGAGCCGCCGAGACTTGCGCCTGAAAAAGGGAAGCCCACGGAGGGAGCTCCTTCAAGCGACTAGCTCACGACAGCCGGGTCTAAGGGTGAGACATGGGCGAAAGTCGTGGGCCGCAAGAATGCCCGCAAAGCCACCAAGAAGGCCGCAGCATCTGCACACGCCCCAAGTGGAACCGCAAAGACGGCTCCTCAACCTGCGCGGCGGACTGCCAAAGGCGGTCGCAAGAAACCGGCTGTACGTGTTCCGCGGTCCAATGCAGTGACACTAACATTGCAGCCCGGAACTGTGGAGCGTGGCGTGACGTACCAGTCGGTCATCGCTGAGGCCAGGGTCAAGATCAAATTATCAGATCTTGGCCTTCAGTCCGTCACCCTCAGGCAGTCTGCCACGGGTACGCGGCTGTTCGAGGTGGCTGGCACCGTGAGCGACAGTGCCCAAAAGGCGGACGCATTGGCCGCCAAGATGAGAGATGTTCTCAACCCTGAGGACGTCCGGGTCCAGACCAATGAAAACCGCAGAAGTGCGGATTGCTGGCCTGGACGACTCCGTGACCTCAGAGGAGGTAGTGGCGGTCGTTGCCAGAAGCGAAGAGTGTCCGCCGGACAAGGTGCGGGCCGGCGATATACGCACTAATGCCACCGGACTTGGCGCGGTCTGGATTCGGTGCCCTGTAGCGTCGGCAAAGAAGATCGCCGATAGCGGCAGATTGCTGGTAGGCTGGGTGGCGGCAAGGACGAAGCTACTACAGCCCCGGGCCTTTGCAGTACTTCCGGTGCCTGGAAAAAGGGCACGTATGGGCGAAGTGCACCGCCGAGGTTGGCCGTAGTGACCTCTGTTACCGCTGCGGCCAGCCTGGCCACAAGGCGGCCCTGTGCACCGCGGCGTTCAACTGCAACCTTTGCTCTGCTGCGGGAAAGCTAGCGGAGCACAGAGTACGCGGAGGGGCCTGTGGGGCGCCTACCAGCAAGGCCAAGGCCAAAAAGGAAAAGAAGAGAAGCACCAAGCCTACCGGGTTAACCTCGCTGCCCACACAGGCCAGTAGCTCCGCGGCCGACTCCCGGCCCAGGACTGTTGCCGAGGGAATGGAATGTCAATAATGGCAAAGTTCCATTTTCTCCAGGGCAACATCAACCACTGTGCCAGAGCTCAGGATCTGCAACTCCAGAGCATGGCAGAGTGGTCGATTCACGTGGCTGTGGTCGCCGAACCGTACTTCATTCCCGCCCGTGACAACCGGCTGGGATGCGCTGACGGTTTGGTGGCCATTATTGGCGAGACTCTGATCGACCCGTCTCGGGGCCGCGGCTGGGTTTCTGCGGTCTCGGGTGGCATCGTTATTGAGGGGGCGTATTTCTCCCCCAACAAGAGTCTCGCCGACTTTGAGGGTTTCCTTGTCGAGTTGGGCGCCGTCGTAGGCCGCTATCACCCTCGTCCCGTTCTGGTGCTCGGGGATCTCAACGCCAAGTCATCAGCGTGGGGATCTCCGGTCACTGACCCTCGGGGCGAGGTGCTAGAAGAGTGGACAGTGACGACTGGTCTGGTCGTCCTGAATCGGGGTTCGGAATACACGTGCGTGCGGCAGCGAGGCGGGTCGATAGTGGACGTCTCGCTCGCTAGCCCCTCTTTCGCCAGCCGAGTTCGCGACTGGCGTGTCGCCGTAGGGGTGGAGACGTTGTCGGACCATCGGTATATCCGGTTCGATGTCTCTGCCCAGACTGCGAGCGGCCGCCATCCAACAACCCCGATTAACGACGGCCAGCGTTGGGCGCTTAAGCGCATCGACAGGGAACTACTCGAGGAAGCTGCCTTAGTCCAGTCCTGGATCTGGGAGTCGGCGACGGATGGCCCCGTCGACGTCGAAGCAGTGGCGCTATGGTTTCACGGGGCAATGACCCAGATCTGCGACGCGTCCATGCCACGTGTCCGCCAACGGCCCGCAAGGCACCAGGTGTACTGGTGGACCGTCGAGATCGCGCAATTGCGCATAGCGTCGTTACGGCTCGTCACCGGTACACCCAATACCGGAGACGGCATCGACGGGATTCCGCCGAGGAGGACGCGCTGTATGAGGTGTACCGCGCGGCTAAGGAGACTCTGTGGCTGGCCATCGGCGACTCGAAGTCGCGTGCCAGGGAGGAGCTGCTGGGGTCCCTAGATCGGGATCCGTGGGGGCGCCCCTACCGTTGGTTACGGGGCAAGTTGCGTTCCTGGGCGCCTCCACTAACGCAAACAATGCAAGCCCAGTTGCTAGAGACGGTGGTACCGGTTCTCTTCCCTGAACGAGTCAGACACTTTCCCGCAACGATGGCTTCGCCCTCAGCCACAGAATCTCAAGCAAGCAGAGATGGGCCTCTCAAGCAAGCAGAGATGGGAATCTCAAGCAAGCAACTCCGGGCCAAGAACACAGCGCCCGGACCCGACGGAGTTCCTGGTCGAGCTCTCGTCCTGGCTTTGAAGGAGCTGGAGCCCCAGCTGAGGGGGCTCTTCACGGCATGTCTCGAGCAGGGTCAGCTTCCCAGTGTGTGGAAGGAGGGAAGGCTGGTCCTACTCAGGAAGGAGGGGCGCCTCGCGGACTCACCGTCCGCCTACCAGCCCATAGTGCTGCTCGACGAGGCGGGCAAACTCCTTGAGCGTATCATCGCAGATTGCCTCGTTAGCCACTTGTGCAGAGTGGGGCCGGACCTGGACGAGAACCAGTTTGTTTTTCATCGCGGGCGCTCCACCATAGACGCTATTACGCGCGTGAGGGCCCTGGCGGAGGAGACAGTATCCCGGGGTGGGGTGGTGCTGGCGGTGTCTTTAGACATCTCCAACGCCTTCAACACCCTACCCTGGAGTTGTATTCGGGAGGCGCATTACCATCGCGTGCCTCCCTACCTCCATCGCACAATAGGGGCTTACCTTGAGGAGAGATGCGTCACGTATTGGGGACGTGGCAGCGCTGGTCGGCGCGTCATGTCGTGCGGGGTTCCGCAGGTATCGATCTTGGGACCGGAGTCGGAGCGGAGCCATAGACCAGATCCTCCGCTGGGTTTAGGAAGGCTAGTGCTTCTGAG